ACACAAGCAACAGAACACAAGCAACAGAACACTAGCAACAGAACACAAGCAACAGAACACAAGCAACAAAACACAAGCAACAGAACACAAGCAACAGAACACAAGCAACAGAACACAGGCAACAGAACACAAGCAACAGAACACTAGCAACAAAACACAAGCAACAGAACACAAGCAACAGAACACTAGCAACAGAACACAAGCAACAGAACACAAGCAACAAAACACTAGCAACAGAACACAAGCAACAGAACACAAGCAACAGAACACTAGCAACAAAACACAAGCAACAGAACACAAGCAACAAAACACAAGCAACAGAACACTAGCAACAGAACACAAGCAACAGAACACAAGCAACAGAACACTAGCAACAAAACACAAGCAACAGAACACAAGCAACAAAACACAAGCAACAGAACACAAGCAACAGAACACAAGCAACAGAACACAAGCAACAGAACACAAGCAACGGAACACAAGCAACAAAACACTAACAACAGAACACAAGCAACAGAACACTAGCAACAAAACACAAGCAACAGAACACAAGCAACAGAACACAAGCAACAGAACACTAGCAACAAAACACAAGCAACAGAACACAAGCAACAAAACACAAGCAACAGAACACAAGCAACAGAACACAAGCAACAGAACACAAGCAACAGAACACAAGCAACGGAACACAAGCAACAAAACACTAACAACAGAACACAAGCAACAGAACACTAGCAACAAAACACAAGCAACAGAACACAAGCAACAAAACACAAGCAACAGAACACAAGCAACAGAACACTAGCAACAGAACACTAGCAACAGAACACAAGCAACAGAACACTAGCAACAGAACACAAGCAACAGAACACTAGCAACAAAACACAAGCAACAGAACACTAGCAACAGAACACAAGCAACAGAACACAAGCAACAAAACACAAGCAACAGAACACAAGCAACAGAACACAAGCAACATAACACAAGCAACAGAACACAAGCAACATAACACAAGCAACAAAACACAAGCAACAGAACACAAGCAACAGAACACAAGCAACAAAACACTAGCAACAAAACACAAGCAACAGAACACTAGCAACAGAACACAAACAACAGAACACAAGCAACAGAACACAAGCAACAGAACACAAGCAACAAAACACAAGCAACAGAACACAGGCAACAGAACACAGGCAACAGAACACAGGCAACAGAACACAAGCAACAGAACACTAGCAACAAAACACAAGCAACAGAACACAAGCAACAAAACACAAGCAACAGAACACAGGCAACAGAACACAGGCAACAGAACACAGGCAACAGAACACAAGCAACAGAACACTAGCAACAGAACACAAGCAACAGAACACTAGCAACAAAACACAAGCAACAGAACACAAGCAACAAAACACAAGCAACAGAACACTAGCAACAGAACACAAGCAACAGAACACTAGCAACAAAACACAAGCAACAGAACACAAGCAACAGAACACAAGCAACAGAACACAAGCAACAAAACACAAGCAACAGAACACAAGCAACAGAACACAAGCAGCAGAACACAAGCAACAGAACACAAGCAACGGAACACAAGCAACAAAACACTAACAACAGAACACAAGCAACAGAACACTAGCAACAAAACACAAGCAACAGAACACAAGCAACAGAACACAAGCAACAGAACACTAGCAACAAAACACAAGCAACAGAACACAAGCAACAGAACACAAGCAACAGAACACAAGCAACAAAACACAAGCAACAAAACACAAGCAACAGAACACTAGCAACAGAACACTAGCAACAGAACACAAGCAACAGAACACTAGCAACAGAACACAAGCAACAGAACACTAGCAACAAAACACAAGCAACAGAACACTAGCAACAGAACACAAGCAACAGAACACAAGCAACAAAACACAAGCAACAGAACACAAGCAACAGAACACAAGCAACAAAACACAAGCAACAGAACACAAGCAACAGAACACAAGCAACAGAACACAAGCAACATAACACAAGCAACAGAACACAAGCAACAGAACACAAGCAACAGAACACAAGCAACAGAACACTAGCAACAGAACACAAGCAACAAAACACTAGCAACAGAACACTAGCAACAGAACACAAACAACAGAACACAAGCAACAAAACACTAGCAACAGAACACAAGCAACAGAACACTAGCAACAAAACACAAGCAACAGAACACAAGCAACAGAACACAAGCAACAGAACACAAGCAACAGAACACAAGCAACAGAACACAGGCAACAGAACACAGGCAACAGAACACAGGCAACAGAACACAAGCAACATAACACAAGCAACAGAACACAAGCAACAAAACACAAGCAACAGAACACAGGCAACAGAACACAAGCAACAGAACACAAGCAACAGAACACAAGCAACAGAACACAAGCAACAGAACACAAGCAACATAACACAAGCAACAGAACACAAGCAACAAAACACAAGCAACAGAACACAGGCAACAGAACACAGGCAACAGAACACAGGCAACAGAACACAGGCAACAGAACACAGGCAACAGAACACAGGCAACAGAACACAGGCAACAGAACACAGGCAACAGAACACAAGCAACATAACACAAGCAACAGAACACAAGCAACAAAACACAAGCAACAGAACACAGGCAACAGAACACAAGCAACAGAACACAAGCAACAAAACACAAGCAACAGAACACAGGCAACAGAACACAGGCAACAGAACACAGGCAACAGAACACAAGCAACAGAACACAAGCAACAGAACACAAGCAACAGAACACAAGCAACAAAACACAAGCAACAAAACACTAACAACAGAACACAAGCAACAAAACACAAGCAACAGAACACTAGCAACAGAACACAAGCAACAAAACACAAGCAACAGAACACTAACAACAGAACACAAACAACAGAACACAAGCAAAAAAACACAAGCAACAGAACACAAACAACAGAACACAAGCAACAAAACACAAGCAACAGAACACAAGCAACAAAACACAAGCAACAGAACACAAGCAACAGAACACAAGCAACAAAACACAAGCAACAGAACACAAGCAACAGAACACAAGCAAGCAGCCTTAACCTTTTGTTTGGACAAAGACTAATTATTGCCACAAAATTTGGCACATTAAATAATAAAAAAAAATCTATAGTTGAGTGTCTGTTTTGAGATTTAACAAATCATAAAAAAACCAGAAATTCAATTGTAAATGAAATGTTTTGAGGCCCTTTTGAAGGCCTATACAAGACGGCACCCAGAAAACTCTTCACCCCTGAAGGATTCGAACCCAGACAGCCAGGAGCTCCATGCCACCTTGACGGGTCCAGTACTATCACCACTAGGCGACGTGTTACCCACGTGGGGCCCAGTATGAGAAGGGATGAGATGAAATATCTGAGCCCAAAGGGGTCACCGAGTGCTGTCGGGAATTGGGTTAATGGTCTGACGACTTCCAGTTCTTTTAACAGTCGTTGTGGTCTAGTGGTGAAAGTACTGGATACGCCAAGGGGGGCATGGAGCTTCTGGCTGTCTGGGTTCGAATCCTTCAGGGGTGAGGAGTTTTCTGTTAAAATAAAGTTTTTAAAATAGAGTTTTAGAAACCCTGTTTTTAAATATGTTTTTACCTAGGTCTCTCCTATATTTACCCAGGTCTCTCCTATATTTACCCAGGTCTCTCCTGTATTTACCCCCAGGTCTATTCTGTATTTACCCCAGGTCTATCCTGTATTTACCCCAGGTCTATCCTGTATTTACCCAGGTCTATTCTGTATTTACCCCCAGGTCTATTCTGTATTTACCCAGGTCTATCCTGTATTTACCCCAGGTCTATCCTGTATTTACCCAGGTCTATTCTGTATTTACCCCCAGGTCTATTCTGTATTTACCCAGGTCTATTCTGTATTTACCCCCAGGTCTATCCTGTATTTACCCCAGGTCTATCCTGTATTTACCCCAGGTCTATCCTGTATTTACCTAGGTCTATCCTGTATTTACCCCCAGGTCTATTCTGTATTTACCCAGGTCTATTCTGTATTTTCCCCCAGGTCTATCCTGTATTTACCCAGGTCTATCCTGTATTTACCCCCAGGTCTATTCTGTATTTACCCAGGTCTCTCCTGTATTTATCCCCAGGTCTATTCTGTATTTACCCCAGGTCTATCCTGTATTTACCCCAGGTCTATCCTGTATTTACCCAGGTCTATCCTGTATTTACCCCCAGGTCTATTCTGTATTTACCCAGGTCTCTCCTGTATTTACCCCCAGGTCTATTCTGTATTTACCCCAGGTCTATCCTGTATTTACCCCAGGTCTATCCTGTATTTACCCAGGTCTATCCTGTATTTACCCCCAGGTCTATTCTGTATTTACCCAGGTCTATTCTGTATTTATCCAGGTCTATCCTGTATTTACCCCAGGTCTATCCTGTATTTACCCAGGTCTATCCTGTATTTACCCCCAGGTCTATTCTGTATTTACCCAGGTCTATCCTGTATTTACCCCAGGTCTATCCTGTATTTACCCAGGTCTATCCTGTATTTACCCAGGTCTATCCTGTATTTACCCAGATCTATCCTGTATTTACCCAGGTCTATCCTGTATTTACCCAGATCTATCCTGTATTTACCCAGTTCTATCCTGTATTTACGCAGGTCTATCCTGTATTTACCCAGATCTATCCTGTATTTACCCAGATCTCTCCTGTATTTACCCAGATCTATCCTGTATTTACCCAGATCTATCCTGTATTTACCCAGATCTCTCCTGTATTTACCCAGGTCTATCTTGTATTTACCCAGGTCTATCCTGTATCTACCCAGTTCCTTCCTGAAACTAAACGTACCCAATTATTAGCCACTGTTTCGTGCCTTATCTGGTGTGGACACAAACTTGGTGTTGGTCCATCATTACCACCACGAGGTGCCCCATAGACCTCCACCCCTGGCCTCCGGCAGGTGTGGAAGGAGAACACCCCGAGGGCCGACGAGCTGGTGGTGAACATTACCCTGACGCAGCCGGAGTTCCTGGTCAGGCTCCTGGAGCCCGGACACCACTATCGTGCAGAGGTCATCGCCCACAACGCCAGGGGCGCCGCCCCACCCGTCACCCTCTACATCCACACCCTCAAACAAGCGGAAATGCATATAAGTGAGCATTTTACTAACATACCCGGTGGTGATACATAGTAGGAGCTATATAGCTACATAGCAGTAGCGTTAACTGCTGCATAGCTACATAGCAGTAGCATTAACTGCTGCATAGCAGTAGCGTTTACTGCCACATAGCTACATAGCAGTAGCATTTACTGCTACATAGCAGTAGCGTTTACTGCCACATAGCTACATAGCAGTAGCGTTTACTGCTATATAGCTACATAGCAGTAGCATTTACTGCTGCATAGCTACATAGCAGTAGCGTTTACTGCTGCATAGCTACATAGCAGTAGCATTAACTGCTACATAGCAGTAGCATTAACTGCCACATAGCTACATAGCAGTAGCATTAACTGCTGCATAGCTACATAGCAGTAGCATTAACTGCTACATAGCAGTAGCATTAACTGCTGCATAGCTACATAGCAGTAGCATTAACTGGCACATAGCTACATAGCAGTAGCGTTTACTGCCACATAGCTACATAGCAGTAGCGTTTACTGCTATATAGCTACATAGCAGTAGCGTTTACTGCTATATAGCTACATAGCAGTAGCATTTACTGCTGCATAGCTACATAGCAGTAGCATTAACTGCCACATAGCTACATAGCAGTAGCATTAACTGCCACATAGCTACATAGCAGTAGCGTTTACTGCCACATAGCTACATAGCAGTAGCATTAACTGCTACATAGCTACATAGCAGTAGCATTAACTGCTACATAGCTACATAGCAGTAGCATTAACTGCCACATAGCTACATAGCAGTAGCATTAACTGCCACATAGCTACATAGCAGTAGCGTTTACTGCCACATAGCTACATAGCAGTAGCATTAACTGCTACATAGCTACATAGCAGTAGCATTAACTGCTACATAGCAGTAGCATTAACTGCTACATAGCTACATAGCAGTAGCATTAACTGCCACATAGCTACATAGCAGTAGCGTTTACTGCCACATAGCTACATAGCAGTAGCATTAACTGCTACATAGCTACATAGCAGTAGCATTAACTGCTACATAGCTACATAGCAGTAGCATTAACTGCCACATAGCTCCATAGCAGTAGCATTAACTGCTACATAGCTACATAGCAGTAGCGTTTACTGCTACATAGCTACACAGCAGTAGCATTTACTGCTACATAGCTACACAGCAGTAGCGTTTACTGCTACATAGCTACACAGCAGTAGCATTTACTGCTACATAGCTACACAGCAGTAGCGTTTACTGCTACATAGCTACATAGCAGTAGCATTAACTGCTACATAGCTACACAGCAGTAGCATTTACTGCTACATAGCTACATAGCAGTAGCATTTACTGCTACATAGCTACATAGCAGTAGCATTTACTGCTACATAGCTACATAGCAGTAGCATTTACTGCTACATAGCTACATAGCAGTAGCGTTTACTGCTACATAGCTACATAGCAGTAGCATTTACTGCTACATAGCTACATAGCAGTAGCGTTTACTGCTACATAGCTACATAGCAGTAGCGTTTACTGCTACATAGCTACATAGCAGTAGCATTTACTGCTACATAGCTACATAGCAGTAGCATTTACTGCTACATAGCTACATAGCAGTAGCGTTTACTGCTACATAGCTACATAGCAGTAGCATTTACTGCTACATAGCTACATAGCAGTAGCATTTACTGCTACATAGCTACATAGCAGTAGCGTTTACTGCTACATAGCTACATAGCAGTAGCATTTACTGCTACATAGCTACATAGCAGTAGCATTTACTGCTACATAGCTACATAGCAGTAGCGTTTACCGCTACATAGCTACATAGCAATAGCATTTACTGCTACATAGCCTTCCCGGCTTGGTGCCTTCTTTTGATAATTACTTATAAATATACGCAAACAATGGAAATATCTGTGAACGCGGACATTCACAGTCGACTTGAGAATGGTCCAGGACGGACCGAAACGTCGTCGTCACTTCACTTTCATGTGTGTGGTCTGGTCAACACGCTTCATCCACGTTATTGTGACTCCTCGTCTGCATACGCGAAGGTATTGAGTTCAGAGTTCCTCAACTATTTACGAAACCGGTGTATCTTTTTTTGTTTAATCGTGGCAGCTTTATTTACATATATTAAACAGTTTGCAAAGTTTGGAATATCACAATCTTAGATTGTATGATAGTGAAGGTCAGTAGTTAACCTAGGAGGACCTTACACCTAATGCATCTGTTCACCTAGCAGTTAACAGATTCCCAGGAGTTAGTGAGGTGTTGTGGGCTGCATCCTGAGCAAGTTCAGTAATTAGCCAAGGGAGGACTTCAATAAATTTTAGTGCCTTCTTGTCCCCAACAATGTTCTTGTTCTTCCTTTATTATGTTCTTGTTCGTCCTTTATTATGTTCTTGTTCGTCCTTTATTATGTTCTTGTTCTACCTTTATTATGTTCTTGTTCTACCTTTATTATGTTCTTGTTCTTCCTTTATTATGTTCTTGTTCTACCTTTATTATGTTCTTGTTCTTCCTTTATTATGTTCTTGTTCTCCCTTTATTATGTTCTTGTTCTACCTTTATTATGTTCTTGTTCTTCATTTATTATGTTCTTGTTCTACCTTTATTATGTTCTTGTTCTACCTTTATTATGTTCTTGTTCTTCCTTTACGATATTCGTTCCACCTTTATGTTCTTGTTCTACCTTTACTATGTTCGTGTTCTTCCTTTATTATATTCCTGCTTTACCATTATTTTTATCACGTTCTACCTTAATTTTGTTCTCGTTCCTCCGTTAAATGTTCTTGTTTTACCTTTATTATATTCTAGCTCCACCTTTAATATGTTCTTAAGCTAATGGGGGCTTAAATATATACACAACTATTGCCAGTTGTTTTAATTACGAAGAAAACTGCAAAATCTTTTTGACTTGTTTTATCAGGTTTACCATCTCGGTCTGAGCCATCTCCGCTGATGCTGGTGCTGGCGGTGATTGGTGGGGCTCTGCTGGTGGTGGTGCTGCTGCTGGTGGGCGTGTGGGCGGTGCGGGGCCGCAGGAGGAACTCCCACGCCCACGGAGACAACGCCCACATCCCCATGAAGGAATCTAATCCGGATATACTTGGTAAGTGGGACGTGTGAGAAAGATTTTGATCTGGTTGACTTGCAAGATCTGCTCGTGGCTTCCCGCCAAACGCACACCGAAATTACGACGTTGGTACAACGTTCGAACAAGTTTTAATACTTCCTTACCAGTTATAACAACCAATATAGCAAGCTGTAACAACGTTCTAATACGTCATAAACCCGTTAAGCCAAGATGTAACAACTTTATTACAAGTTGTAACAAACGGAAAATAGAGACAGTTACGGTTTGTGTTTCTAGGGTTGTGGTGATCGTTGGGTTTGAATCACATTGTTATTCACACACACTAGAGGCGGTAGATGTTGTGCTTGCAGGATCGAGCTCAGCTCTGAAGCCTCGCCTTCTCGATAATCAGTAATTCAATGCAAGTGTTTTTGGCAAGTTTGTCTTTCATATACTGATACTGACAAGTCATTATTGAAGCTCAGCATAACTTGAGCTATTAGCCCTCATCTTGCACGACGACCACGCTGCTCCCCCAACCCGTTCTCGCACTTTCGTATAGTCAATATTGACTTATTAGATACGTGCATATGTGACATACTAAACATACTAGTTTACCTTGAAAAGCTTCATAGAAAACACCGACCTTACCTAACCTTCTTAGTATGTTAAGATAAGCATCTTATTGCTTCGTAATTACAATTATTACTTAATCTATTATAGGTTAAGTAATAATTGTAATTGCTCCCCAGCCTCTATTGGCGTCTTAAAATATGTAACTACAAACACGTTTCCTCACAGGTAACGAACATTTTGTTACCTAAATCCCATTACAGAGAAGTAGCACAAGAGGAATAATATAAGACAGAACGACCACTCTAGATAAATAATTAGCCACATTTACGGTAGTATAAAACACACGACTATTTTAGAAGCATATTTAGTGAAAATCTTATTTTAATATTTTTTCTCGTTCAATCCCCGATTGTCCAAGTGGTTGGGCACCATTCCTTTCCCCAGTTCCATCTAAAATTCTTATTCTGACCCCTTCCAAGTGCTATATAGTCGTAATGGCATGGCGTTTTCCCCTGAATAATTAGAATAATTAGAATAATCAGAAGGGAAGGTAACTAAGAATATCTTACATTTAGAGGTTAAGAAAAAAGTTTTTTAAAGACAGCATAATTTAAGATATATTACGTTATATTTTCAAAGACTAAAGTCTTTGAAAATGTAATAAGTTTTACGAAACGCGCCCGTGTCGCGTCAGACTAGAAATAAAAATGAATTTTGGAGAATTAATTTTTGAATTAACTCCAACAGTGAAGCGTAATGTACGAAAGATTGAGAAAATTCGCGTTAGAATTATTAATCTTACTTTTTCGGTCATATTTAATAATATATATATATATATATATATATATATATATATATATATATATATATATATATATATATATATATATATATATATATATATATATATAGTTGTGCAATAATTGGCTGTTGATTGCTGGTATTGACTTCTTGATGTGTAGTGCCTCGCAAACGTCAAGCCGCCTGCTATCGCTGTATCTATCGATGATTTCTGTGTTGTTTACTAGGATTTCTCTGGCGATGGTTTGGTTATGGGAAGAGATTATATGTTCCTTAATGGAGCCCTGTTGCTTATGCATCGTTAAACGCCTAGAAAGAGATGTTGTTGTCTTGCCTATATACTGGGTTTTTTGGAGCTTACAGTCCCCAAGTGGGCATTTGAAGGCATAGACGACATTAGTCTCTTTTAAAGCGTTCTGTTTTGTGTCTGGAGAGTTTCTCATGAGTAGGCTGGCCGTTTTTCTGGTTTTATAGTAAATCGTCAGTTGTATCCTCTGATTTTTGTCTGTAGGGATAACGTTTCTATTAACAATATCTTTCAGGACCCTTTCCTCCGTTTTATGAGCTGTGGAAAAGAAGTTCCTGTAAAATAGTCTAATAGGGGGTATAGGTGTTGTGATAGTTGTCTCTTCAGAGGTTGCATGGCTTTTCACTTTCCTTCTTATGATGTCTTCGATGAAACCATTGGAGAAGCCGTTATTGACTAGGACCTGCCTTCTTTTCCACAGCTCATAAAACGGAGGAAAGGGTCCTGAAAGATATTGTTAATAGAAACGTTATCCCTACAGACAAAAATCAGAGGATACAACTGACGATTTACTATAAAACCAGAAAAACGGCCAGCCTACTCATGAGAAACTCTCCAGACACAAAACAGAACGCTTTAAAAGAGACTAATGTCGTCTATGCCTTCAAATGCCCACTTGGGGACTGTAAGCTCCAAAAAACCCAGTATATAGGCAAGACAACAACATCTCTTTCTAGGCGTTTAACGATGCATAAGCAACAGGGCTCCATTAAGGAACATATAATCTCTTCCCATAACCAAACCATCGCCAGAGAAATCCTAGTAAACAACACAGAAATCATCGATAGATACAGCGATAGCAGGCGGCTTGACGTTTGCGAGGCACTACACATCAAGAAGTCAACACCAGCAATCAACAGCCAAATATATATATATATATATATATATATATATATATATATATATATATATATATATATATATATATATATATATATATATATATATATATATATATATATATATATATATATATATATATGCGAACAAGCCTGAATGGTCCCCAGGACAATATGCAACTGAAAACTCACACCCCAGAAGTGACTCGAACCCATACTCCCAGGAGCAATGCAACTGGTTTGTACAAGACGCCTTAATCCACTTGACCATCACGACCGGACAAAATGAGGTGATAGCCGAGGCTATTTGAACCACCCCACCACCGGCACTCGGATAGTAATCTTGGGCATAGCATTTTACCAAATCACCTCATTCTTTGGGGCACACGTGAGGAACACAAATGCGAACATGCCTGAATGGTCCCCAGGACAATATGCAACTGAAAACTCACACCCCAGAAGTGACTCGAACCCATACTCCCAGGAGCAATGCAACTGGTTTGTACAAGACGCCTTAATCCACTTGACCATCACGACCGGACAAAATGAGGTGATAGCCGAGGCTATTTGAACCACCCCACCGCCGGCACTCGGATAGTAATCTTGGGCATAGCATTTTACCAAATCACCTCATTCTGGGAGGAGTCTCATTCTCCTGGGAGTATGGGTTCGAGTCACTTCTGGGGTGTGAGTTTTCAGTTATATATATATATATATATATATATATATATATATATATATATATATATATATATATATATATATATATATATATATATATATATATGTTCACTCTTACAAGTAATTAATTATGAAAAGAAAGCACCAAGTCGATATTACAAGACCCTAAACATACATGAATTTTAGTTCCTTGTAGAGACCCTTTAGAGACAACTTTAGAACGTGGCTCCAATGTTGTGGTTAAGTTTGTCGTGAGGCCCTCCTCCCCCCTCTCCCCTCAGAACACTAGTACTCGTGCCAACCAGCTTAACCACAACCTTGTAGCAACTTTATAATGTGACCCCAATGTTGTGGTTAAGTTTGTTGTGGGACCTCCAAAACCCCGGTACTCGTGACAATAAGCTTCGTATTTTACCCCACAGAGGCAGCTCCCCAGCCACAGTCATCTGCCCACACCATAAGCATCAGCATAATTAAACAGCCACCGCGCTCCTATGATGGGGAACCTTCTCCTCCGCCTCTGAACGTGGCCGCCGAGGACCTAGGGATGGGTATGGGTCTCCGGACGGGGCTGTCGTCGCAGAAAACAACATTTGGACTATCCGAACCTCTGCACAGACCCATTGAAAAGAGTTTACAGGTGAGTGCAGGCGATGAGTCACAATAACGTGGCTGAAGTATGTTGACCAGACCACACACTAGAAATTGAAGGGACGACGACGTTTCGACTTGAGAATGGTCCAGGACGGACCGAAACGTCGTCGTCCCTTCAATTTCTAGTGTGTGGTCTGGTCAACTTACAGGCGAGTGTTCAATGTTTAACTGGCGTTTGTTGATCTAGATCAGGTTATTAATGGTATTTTGATTTTCGAATTGAGTTTTGTTTTTCATCATTACTCATCTATAGTGAAAAAATTTCATGAAATACCTTTTCAGTTAAAATATTGCAAATAATTATTTTCATGTAATTTGGGTAAAATAAATAATGAACTGGTAAATATTAGTTATTATATTAATATTAAAAGCAATTGAATAAGATATTTGTGGATACAGAAAATACAGTTTAGAAATATTTACGAACTTGTGTATGTATTGAATATTTAATAAATTAATTGTTCAAGCTTTATTTACAAGATTAAATAACAATTCACTGAAGAATTATAGTTATGTGACCTTATTCATCAGCTCCATCTTCTTATGGTATAAGTGAGAATTATTTTAATTACAAATTTATACATTTTGGCTTTTTTATTCAATAATGCATAATACTGCAAGGAGAGCATGCAACATAGCATGATGCTTCATATCAGCATTCATTGCAAGAATGCACACAATTTTGCATTTCATTTCTCCATTACAATATACTGCAGAACTCGTGCAAAATTAGTTTATAAAACTGACATTGAGGAAAATTATTGTCCTATTTCAAACCCAATTACAGAAATAGAAATATACTTACATATTTGTATACTTATATGTAAATTTTGTGATTTGATAAAACTTTACATTCAAAATTGATCTTCCCATTAGAAGTCCCAAATAAATTAATACAATTTAATGGATATATTTGTATTTGGCCTTATCCTCCACCCAAACCCCCCCCCCCCTTAGGCTCTTATAAAATTACCCCCTGTCCCCATTACCTGTTCCCAGGACACTGCCATGCTAGGGAAATAGTTCGAACCTAACACAAAGCTTACTGTTCGCTGGCTTGTATTCTTGCCTGTTGTAATTCGGTGTTTACGTTACAGCTGCCGTTACAGCTGCCATTTACAGCTTCTCTTCATCTCATCACATCAAGTTCACTTCACTAAGCTTATCATGTCTGTTTCACAGTCCTGTTGCTTCAAGCTTTCTTTTCAATATGATTATTTTTTTATCATTCTCTTGCTTCGTGTGTGATTCACAGTGTGCTTCATATGCTTCACTGTTGCTTCAAGCGTTCATAGCCAGGAGCAGTAACGCCTAACAGGCCTGCTGGGAGGAGTATATGTTATCTTTGCCATCTTTATGACTTCTTAATGAGTGCCATCTTTATGACTTCTTCATAAATGCCATCTTTATAACTTCTACACGAGTGCCTTCTTATGACTTCTTCATGAGTGCCATCTTTATGACTTCTTCATAAGTGCCATCTTTATAACTTCTTCATGAGTGCCATCTTATGACTTCTTCATAAATGCCATCTTTATAACTTCTACACGAGTGCCATCTTATGACTTCTTCATTAATGCCATCTTTATAACTTCTTCATGAGTGCCATCTTTATAACTTCTACACGAGTGCCATCTTTATGACTTCTTCATGAGTGCCGTCTTTATAACTTCTTCATGAGTGCCATCTTTATGACTTCTTCATGAGTGCCATCTTTATAACTTCTTCATGAGTGCCATCTTTGTAACTTCTTCATGAGTGCCATCTTTATAACTTCTTCATGAGTGCCATCTTTATAACTTCTACACGAGTGCCATCTTTATGACTTCTTCATGAGTGCCATCTTTATAACTTCTTCATGAGTGCCATCTTATGACTTCTTCATAAGTGCCATCTTTAAAACTTCTACACGAGTGCCATCTTATGACTTCTTCATAAATGCCATCTTTATAACTTCTACACGAGTGCCATCTTTAAGACTTCATAAGTGCCATCTTTGCAAGACTTGGACTCAGTTACTGCCGCTTGCATTAAATTATGTTGCAACCATCTACTTGCAACCATCTACTTGCAACCATCTACTTGCAACCATCTACTTGCAACCATCTACTTGCAACCATCTACTTGCAACCATCAACAATCTGCTTGCTTGATAATACTCTGAACAATTGTAATGAATTAACAGAAGTGATATAGGATTTACCACATGGGATTAAACAATGTCTAAATGATACAGGATTTACCACATGGGATTAACAATGATTCAGGATTTACCACGTGGGATTAATAATGTCTAAATGATACAGGATTTACCACGTGGAATTATTAATGTCTAAATGATACAGGATTTACCACGTGGAATTAATAATGTCTAAATGATACAGGATTTACCACGTGGAATTAATAATGTCTAAATGATACAGGATTTACCACGTGGAATTATTAATGTCTAAATGATACAGGATTTTCCACATGGGATTAATAATGATTCAGGATTTACCACGTTGGATTAATAATGTCTAGATGATTCAGGATTTTCCACGTGGGATTATCAATGTCTAAAAGCTAATTGTAATTTAGGATATTCTCTTCACGAGCCACTCCGTAAAAAATGTAGCGATTTTGGCCTAACCAGAAACATACGCTCCCAAACATCCCACCTAACCTATCGTACACGATGCCTAGAAATCGTCAATGTGACGATGCTTTAATTGCTGCTAAAACGTCTCAGTTTTAACGAACTTTTCGATTACGTCAAAAAATGACGTAATGTTTCTAAATTTAATGCTGCCTAAGGGGGGCATCAGTTCCAAATGTGCCAACAATATGCAATAAATGAAAATTAAGTCGATTTCAATCAAACTTTTTTGACGAGTTGTATATGAAAAGTGTTTCATCTGGTCCAAGTCTCAGCATCGTAGCGTAAATAGGAAGGGAGAAAAAAATATATTGATTTAAGTGTCAAAATTTTTCCATAATGGTCAAAAATTAACATCAAACACAAGTGTCAACTGAAATCATGTCTATGACTCTCAGCTATTACAATAGCATATAATAAAAATAATTAAAAGTTATTTTTATCCCCCCAAAAATTAGTTAAAGAAAATTATTTTAAATTTTTTTTATTTTTATTTGTTTATCGGACGATTTGCATGAAACTTATACACCTGACTGCACGTAAGCCTATCTGTAAGGGGGTCAATTTTGGAGGAAATTGGTTGATGTCAACCTCAGCCACAGATGGCAGCACCTTAGACTTTATGTTTCATTAATTTATTTTAACATAAACGTTCGTGTAACTCTTTCATTTTTTATTCAATTAACATGAAACTTACACCATATATGTAGAGTTTGTCTCTACAATATGATTTCAGAATTTTTATCCCAAGTTCATTTATTGATTTTATAATAATAATAAATATAACATATTTGCATATTTTTTTTTTTTGGGGGGGGGAGGGAGGGGGGAGGGGGGGGGGGGAGAACTTTGACTACTTGTATTAGTAAAACTAAACATATTTTGGAAAATCTACTGAAATCATATCCTTTATTATATGCTAATGTGATAGAAGATTGTCATAGAAAGTATTTCATTTGAAACTTGTGGTTGTAGAGTTTTATTGAAAATGTGTAAAAGTCGTTGAAAAAAAAAAATTCTCCTTTTCTATTTAGGCTGCAGTACTGAAGCTTGGAACAACTGCAGCCCTTATCACATACAAGTAGTCAAAAAAGATTTGTTGACATTGAACAACGTTTAAAAAGCTAACTCCTCGCCAATCACACACCGAAACTACGACGTTGGTACAACGTTCGAACAAGTTTTTAACTCTTCCTAACCAGTTATAACAGCCAATATAGCAAGTTGTAACAACGTTCTAATGCATCACAAACACGTTAAGCCAAGATGTAACAACTTTATCACAAGTTGTAACAAGCTGAAAATATAGACAGTTTCGGCATGTGTTTCCAGGGTCATTGCCCCCTTATCACGTCTTTCCCGACGTGTTAAGGGATCTTTCCCGACGTGTTAAGGGATCTTTCCCGACGTGTTAAGGGATCTTTCCCGACGTGTTAAGGGATCTTCCCCGACGTGTTAAGGGATCGGGCTGAACCCTCGGGGTATACTGAGTATACACAGAATTAACCAGCCAGATTTATCCACAAACATGGCCACATACATAGCCATATACACGGCTATATACATAGCCATATACATGGTCTTATACATGGTCACAAAGCACTCGATATTGCTATTATCGTTCCAGCAGAGAAAAGGCTTTAATGTAGATATTAAAAATTCTTCGAACACACAGAATTTAACGTTTAGAATTGATCATTTCGATGTTTTGGTGTTTTAGAACGAGAAAAACACGACGCTGACAGCCGTTGTGTGGATGGACAGGTGGAGTGGTCAAGTGATGAGAGCAAACACGGCTGTTGACCAAACACACACACACACACACCACAAGAGGAGACGACGACGTTTCGGTCCGTTCTGGACCATTATCAGGTCGTGTGTATGTGGGGGGGGGGGGGGACCTGGACGGACCGAAACGTCGGTCTCCTCATCTTGTGGTGTGTGCTTTGGTCATTATATCTTCAGACCCCGTTATTGTGGCTCATCGTCTGCATATATGATTGTTCCTCTGAGCTCACTCCTACTTCCACACACACAAACACACACACACACACACACACACACACACACACACACACACACACACACACACACACACACACACACACACACACACACACACACACACACACACACTCATTTCTCTCCATGTTTGCGGACGATGCTAAAATTATGAGAAGGATTAAAACAGAAGAGGACTGTTTGAGGCTTCAAGAAGACCTAGACAAGCTGAAGGAATGGTCGAACAAATGGTTGTTAGAGTTTAACCCAACCAAATGTAATGTAATGAAGATAGGTGTAGGGAGCAGGAGGCCAGATACAAGGTATCATTTGGGAGAGGAAATTCTTCAGGAGTCAGAGAAGGAAAAAGACTTGGGGGTTGATATCACGCCTGACCTGTCTCCTGCAGCACATATCAAGCGGATAACATCAGCGGCATATGCCAGGCTGGCCAACATACGAACGGCATTCAGAAACTTGTGTAAAGAATCATTCAGAACTTTGTATACCACATATGTCAGGCCAATCCTGGAGTATGCAGCCCCAGCATGGACTCGATATCTAGTCGAGGATAAGACTAAACTGGAAAAGGTTCAAAGGTTTGCCACCAGACTAGTACCCGTGCTGAGAGGTATGAGCTACGAGGAGAGACTACGGGAATTAAACCTCACTTCGCTGGAAGACAGAAGAGTTAGGGGGGACATGATCACCACATTCAAGATTCTGAAGGGGATTGATAGGGTAGATAAAGACAGTCTATTTAACACAAGGGGAACACGCACAAGGGGACACAGGTGGAAACTGAGTGCCCAAATGAGCCACAGAGATATTAGAAAGAACTTTTTTAGTGTCAGAGTGGTTGACAAATGGAATGCATTAGGGGGTGATGTGGTGGAGGCTCACTCCATACACAGTTTCAAGTGTAGATATGACAGAGCCCGATAGGCTCAGGAATCTGTACACCTGTTGATTGACGGTTGAGAGGCGGGACCAAAGAGCCAGAGCTCAACCCCCGCAAACACAACTAGGTGAGTACAACTAGGTGAGTACACACACACACACATATCTTCAAATATAGATATGATGGAGCCCAGTAGGCTCAGGAATCTGTACACCAGTTGATTGACAGTTGAGAGGCGGGACCAAAGAGCCAAAGCTCAACCCCCGCAAGCACAAATAGGTGAGTACAAATAGGTGAGTACACACACACACACACACACACACACACACACACACACACACACTCACTCACACACACACACACACACACACACACACACACACACACACACACACACACACACACACACACACACACACACACACACACACACACTCCTCAATCTTACGACTAGCGGCCAGTATTCACTAACACCTTTCCTCTCCACTAGCAACCTCTCGGCCTCTTATCTCTTTTTCTCAGTCCGTATTTACTAAACAGTTAGCTCGTGCCCAAGTGCGAAACCTGTACATCTTTCCACAATTATGGCGGAAAGATGAAGACCCTTTATGAATCCTGACCTAAGGAGGACTAGGCTAGAGTACCACGGACCTCGTAAACTGTTTACAAATAATAGTAAACTCACTATTGAGATAAGAGGTACTAAGAGTTACAGGGCACTGAAGTGGACTCGGAAAGGCGTCTTGAGTGCTGAGTAGGAGTCATTTCGCGAGTCATGTGCTCAGTGCTGAGTCCAAGTGTGGCGCAACTTGTCATGTAGTGTGAGTTGAACGATTGACCTGGCATGGAGTCCTTTCCTCCTCCCCCCAGAACCCCGTCCGCCTCCCCTACGATGACGACCCTCCATCTTCTCCAGAAGTCTCTGAGAGGACTCAGCTCACACCATCTACTATAGACCCGTGCGTCACCCTGGGGGTGGAGGCCGCCGTCAGGGCCTCCAGACGGTTGCCGTACTCCAGGACTCCTGTCTACCGCGACGGAGGGTCCCCGTCATGCGCCCGTCAACCACTCATGCTGGGTAGTTCAGAGAGCGTGATGTAGTCGAAGCTACCCCACCAGGCACAGGGACAAGCACGCTATCAACGCCATTCTCCTCAGAATATCTGTTTAAAAAAGTAAGCTTCATTGCTCGAATGATTGCTAGTTGCAAAGGTTTATAATAAATCACCATTTATTGAGGTGTTATTTTTTGCATGTTCAACTAACTGACTCAAAAAATTGCCAAATAAAATAAAAATAAAAACATTTGAAACTAGCAAAAATGACTAAAATACTGAGTATTAAATTACCAAATCTTTATAGGGAAAAAAACCATTATGAAAATAATACCCGAGAACCAATTAACGTATATTCCCCGCCCCCCCCTTTGGGAATATACCATGTCCACAGGTTGTCAAGGAGACGAGAAAGAAAACTATGGCTGACTTAGTGATAGTGTTTTAACCCCTATGTAAATACCCGGTTCATTTTTATATTATAAATTTAGGTCAGAAGACAATAGCATTGCATCGCCATATTTTTGTACACAAATTTTTGAAGAGAATCTTGTTGCTATCACCTAGATATTATTTTCACTGTAACATATATTTGTATTGAAGCCAAAGAAACCCCCCACAAAGCCAGCTCTGTTACGCTAAGAAATAAAGTTTATATCAGTCGTATAAGGTCTGGTCACAAGGAGCTGCTACGTGTTATGTGTAGATGTGTATAAAATTATATACTTTTCATTAGGAGGTTTTATTGTCTTTTACATATTCTTCAGCTATATAGTTTCCAACTCTGGATGTGTGTCAGGAATACGCACACACAC